GTCCCATCTTGGCTTATTGTTGTAATGCTCGGTTCTTGAGCCATGCATGACATCTCCAAAAATAAGTGTTCATGGCTGGATCAGAACGGCTGTCTCCTTTGTGAATTAAACTTATCTTCCCTGTTTCCACATGTCGTGCACATACATTTCGTCAAAACAGTGTTGGAATACTCGAGTCGAAGACGCAGCTAAGCTCTCTCCTACCGTCACAAGTGACCTCGGGTGAATGTTCTCAACTCCATGGTAGCTGTACTTACACAAACTCAGTACAGCTTCTGCCATGGTCGATATACGAGTGAGTACTAGGGGTGAGACAACAATTTTCACAGGGTTAGGTGGCCACTGATCGCAAAGAAAGTTGGAGCATATTACAAGCAAAGAATATTCTCTGCGTTGTTCGTGGTCAGCGTCAGTCCATCGGCCGTTTGAAGAGGAGGAATACCCCGTTTCCCCTTCTGTATGCTGTTTATATGTTTATACAGCAGCTTACGATATGAGACCATACGTATTGCCAACTTCTGCTCGTGTGCCATTTTTCTTCGCTGACAAGTTCAGTACAGTAGTCGTACTAGGTTTCATAGGTCATCCAGGAGAGAGATTTTATAGATAGGCCAGACGCAGTTTCGCATTACTATACACTTGGGTGTCCTACTCCGTACAAACGAGACCACCTTTCTGGGGTAAACAGCTCTAGTTTCCCATGCTTCCGGAATCCGAGTGTTTAACTGGCTAACAGACTGTTGCCATGCTTGATATAAGACCCTTCCATGAAGAAAGCATGTTCACAGTATAACAATGGTATACGGTATATTACGGGCAAAGAAACTGATGCTTCGCAAGTCCAGTAGGTTTGCCATAAAGAGAACCACGACATGGTGCATAGAAAACAAAAGGATAAAATGAAAATCGTTTTAGTGGACGAGCCACAGTGTTCACATAGAAGCAAGCAGAAAGCGCCAACAGTTGTGTGGGTTAATTCTGGTTGTTCAACTTTCGCCACGTTATATCGTGTGTCGGGACACACCGAGTATATCACGTAATATATGCGGGTTAGGACGACCTCAAGGCGCTTTTTAAACACATAAATTGGAAGTAGAAGCAATGTAACTTGGGAGCGCGTTCCATCGCTGGCACACACGGAGAAAGTAAAAGTTTTGTCGACATTTTAGCTTGAACTGGTGGACCCTCGAATTCGTGTTGTGGTTTAGTTCTAGTAGGTGGCGGCAGACGTGGTTCTGGTACCTTAGACTCTGGTAGGCCATAATAAGGTCGCCACGCCGGTACGGGCCGCACTTCGAACTCCGAACTGCAGTCGCCGATCCTACAGGATTTTCCTGATCCACCCAAGGACAGGATCCCCAACTCCGTAGTTTTCGAGTCTGTGAAGCAGGATTCGGTATTCCAATAGGTCGAAGGGTTTGAAGAAGTCGAGGTAAATGACGTCCGTCCCTCAACCATTGTGTGCAATGAACAGGGATTTTGGCGGAAACCATGTTGTTCGGGTGCTATGATGTTGTGGCGTTCTAATTAATCTGCTGAAACTTGACTGAATCAGGGGAATGCTGATCCTCAGGAATCCAAATATTCCTATTTATTAGAATGAATCAAGGGAGGCAGAATCTGAGTAAAGAATTCTTTTCGGTAATTCTCATCAGACGCAAACAGTACATGATGACGCGAAAGTGCTAAATATGCCGGATTGGGCTGCGTATTGAACAGAATGTTTAATTTCAACAGGAACAAATCAATAAATCAAGGGGTCAATGAAAGTGCCAAGTATGTACAGGGGAAATCACAGCCGAAGTTGTAAGCCACAGTAGAAGTACAGGACGTACAAACTGTTTTTGTACGCACAATTCTGGCTTGAGGTGGCGGATGTAGCTAGCTTTCGCAATAGACATGAGATGCTTCCGGAATCCGCGCGAGAAACGTTCAGGAATAGTATAGATGACTCTAAAATCATTTTCCGTCCCTGCGTGACCGCACTCTAGGTGGTGAGACAAGATGGAACTGTTACTGGACCTCGCTTCGCCTTTGTAAAACCACTTTGGGATGTGTTCGCGAATCCTATGATATAGGTGCCGCGTGGTACGACCCACGTATCCTGCACCACAGGAGCACGATTAAAGATAACCAAGCATTGGTCGAGTCACCGGAGGCAGCCTGTCTTTTAAAGGTTTTGTGAAGAAAGGCTTGTTGTAAAATACTATGCGTAGGCGAGCCGTGAAATAAATCTTTTCAATAGCGTCTTTCAGGCGTTTGAACAGGGCATCAGCCGCACTGTCGCCTTTGAAAGGAACATGCACAATTAGTTCTTTCTTGGGTATGTTCATCCTCGGTGGTTTTATCTTGCGTTCTTTCAAATGTTTGAGGATGATTTTATCTGGATATCCATTCGCTCTTAGCTCCTACGCATAGTATTTTACAACAAGCCTTTCTTCGCAAAACCTTTAAAAGACAGGCTGTCTCCGGTGACTCGACCAATGCTTGGTTATCTTTAATCGTGCTCCTGTGGTGCACGACACGTAGGTCATACCACGCGGCACCTATATCATAGGATTCGCGAACACATCCCAAAGTGGTTTTACAACGGTGAAGCGAGGTCCAGTAACAGTTCCATCTTGTCTCACCACCTAGAGTGCGGTCACGCAGGGACGGAAAATGATTTTAGAGTCATCTATACTATTCCTGAACGTTTCTCGCGCGGATTCCGGAAGCATCTCATGTCTATTGCGAAAGCTAGCTACATCCGCCACCTCAAGCCAGAATTGTGCGTACAAAAGCAGTTTGTACGTCCTGTACTTCTACTGTGGCTTACAACTTCGGCTGTGATTTCCCCTGTACATACTTGGCACTTTCATTGACCCCTTGATTTATTGATTTGTTCCTGTTGAAATTAAACATTCTGTTCAATACGCAGCCCAATCCGGCATATTTAGCACTTTCGCGTCATCATGTAATGTTTGAGTCTGATGAGAATTACCGAAAAGAATTCTTTACTCAGATTCTGCCTCCCTTGATTCATTCTAAAGCCTCAACGATGATTGTCTCCATCATCTTTGAGAGCAAAGGGAGGAAGATCACTGGGAGATAGTCGGCGACTTAAGAGCGATTACCGCTTTTGAAAATTGGAGTGATTAAGCCATGTTTTTACATGGGAGGCACAATTGGCTTCTCCAAGCACGTTTGGAATAAATGGGATAATGGCTGGTCCAGCGCTGCTGTTTCTACGTTCAGCGCCATAGGGCGAACGTTATCGATTCCGGGAGAGCTGGAGGTGCGTAGTGAGAGCAGTTCCTTCAACACATCTGTGGCAGTAAAATCGATGTTAGTGAGTGTTGAAATTGGGGTTAGGGATGTCGGTATGTAACAGTGGCGGAAGTCTCTTGGGAAGCGTTTTGTTTGCTGATGTTTAGACAGCATTAGCGACCGCGACTGACAGGTTGCCATACGGCATTTAACTTGGGGTATTTTTCCTTAAACTTGACTGTACAAGGTGACAAATGACGAGTTCATTTTTACCGGGAGAATGTGATGTTAGGATACCGCTACCATCTCACGAGAATCAGGATATGGTGATTACTGATTACTGGTTAGAAGCAGCAAGTAGTTTGGTCTGTGTAGCTGCATCGAATATCACTCAGGGGCAAAGACCCGTCATGTTGTGTTGCGCTCGATATATTTTATGTCGGCAAAGCATTTGTCCATGAATTTCTTAAATTCTGACACCGACTTTGCCTCAACTACGTGCTGCGTCAGGTCGTTCTATACTTTCCCCACTCTGCGTGCGAAACAGAGTTGGTGAGTGACTCGCTTCCGATCCGGTACGACAAGCTTGTGCCTGTGTCCTCGTGTGCTGCTTAGTGTGCACAGATGAAGCGGCGGCCTCAAGATGGGATAATCTCCCCGATGTAATATCCGGTGCGTCATGATGAGGTCAACCTGCAGTCGACGATAAGCTGGGGTGTACAGCCCTAGTTACTTACACCGGTATTCGTACGGCACATTTCGTAAGTTGGGAAGCAGCCTGGTGGCTACATGCTGCACTCACTCAATCTTTTCTACCTCGCTCCGGGTGATAGGACAATACGCGGGAGAGCCATACTCTAGCATTGGTCATATTATTGAGACGAAGAGGCGAGTGGCAATCTCTTCGGATCAAGTGACGAAGCTGTGCCTGAGCGCCCAAAGCATACGAAGGCTGTTTTGGTAAAGCCTATTCGTGTTGTCCATGGACTTTAGATCGTAGCGTGAATCCGTAAGCATATTGGACAAATAAGTATATTACACGGTTTTTATATCAAATTCAATGTAATTTCGGCTGCGAGTATGACAGGTCAACAGCGCGATCCCATCTTATTAGCTCACATGGATTAAATGTATAAACGGTTCCTTGACATCTCGAACTTTTTGTGAAGCGAAGGTTCTCACAACCTTCCGGGTGATTTTAATATTCACATGGGTGGAAATTAGGTGTTTCCCTCCGAAAACACTTCACTCCTATGACGCGTTTCGATGTTATTTACTCTCAACTACGGTCCTAGTGATCGAAAGACCACGTTTTGCTTCAATGGAAATCGCGGTCAAGATTGAGATTGTGTGTCGCAATTCATCCACACAACGTGTGCTACAAAAGAACCGTCAAAATCAATCATTAACTGTTGTGCCACGTGTTGTCCGTCGTGACCCGGTGGCTTAAGGGTAGCGGTCACAACTAACATCCCATTGGTCCCGGGTTCGATACCCGCTATCTGATGAGATGAAATAATATTTAAACGCGTCATAGGAGTGTAGTGTTCTCGGGTGTGCAACACGCAATTTCTGTCTGCTTCAGCTACTGTCCTTGTGATCGAAAGACCAAGGTTCACTTCAAGTGGAATCGCGGTCAGCATTGAGATTGCAATCGCAATCCATCCACACAATGTGTGCTTCATAATGACCCTAAAAACCAACTCACACGGGTGCTTTCCCTTAACTCTTTCACATTTTCTCGTCCACAGCATCGGTAGTTTGTCCCCCTGGGATCCCGTGGTGGCAAAGCTGGACTTACCCATCGCAGAACAAGTGGCCTTGGAGGAAAAACAATTCAAAGCATTAGTCGGTAACTTGCCCCACAGAATATTTGGCATTGATGAACTGATGATAATTAGTAAAAAAGTACTAGCTGGAAGTGATGTAAGAAATGCCTCTGCACAATGGATAAAAGATCCAACAGAGGAACACAGGCAGACGAAATGGACCGTCACATGGGATCCCAACCGCCGGATATATGTGGAGAACGCAACTAGGTTTGGTCGTCTACCACCCATTTCCTACTTCTATGATTCGGCGATGAATGCAACAGCAAAGAAGCATCGCGCATCATACTATCCGACATGGAACTATTCCAACCTATCGAATTACAGTCTGTATGCTCGTCGTGGAATTTCGCTGAAGCAAACCACAAGATCGCAGCAACAACTCGCAAATTCCGCTTCAACTTCAAGGAGTCGACGAAGCAAGTCAACTTACAGAACGCGCACTAGCCAACCAACAAGTCAAGTATATCGCTCAAGGTATGTATTACAATTTCCTTAAGGTTCTGAGTATAACATTAGATCCAATAGGTCATTTATTTACTAGCTTATTGAATGGTCTCTTGTTTTGATAAGTACGAGCTATCCTTCCTTAGTTCGCCCGATTACGTACTAGCGGGCTCACTGTGACTGCCGCTATCCCTGTCGACTGTTGAGTAACAGATTACTAAAGAGATTATCCGTTTCGCTCTTATTTTACATTTGACGAATTGCTAGTCCTTAGTTTAGTAACCATCTGTTGCCAGATAATTGACATATTTCTGAATTCAGCGTACCTATCCACCACCTCGTTTCAATTAAGCTGGAACTGTAGTATATATTTGTGCGACTTGTGTAAGCCTCCCACAATCAAAGTACCCGTATTTCCTTCCCTTGCAGCAAACATGGAACTGCGTGATTAACCAGGATTGTTTTTGGAGCCGGGAAAGAGATTGTTCAAAACCTTTGCCTTTGCGTCACACTCCCTCTACGTATTGGGGGCAAAGTTCAGCATGCTGTTCTGCTTTACAATACGACGCTACGAATGCAATTTGTGAAGTACTGATCCAAGAGAATGAAAAAATAACCGCAATCTTCATCTTCTTACCAACTCTTTGTAAAACTGCGGACTCTATTATGGTTGAGTTCTGGTTAAGCACGAACTTTTCGGGATCCTAGTAAGGTGGATACTGTTATGTGTCTGACTTAGAGTCCACCCCAACATTGTGGTGCATCTTAACTTCTTGATGAAGCACTTTTAGTGCCTGGTCCTCAATAACCGTTACATTCTTTTCAGGTTGCTTCCAGTTCAAATCGAAGTAGGAGAAATAGTGATACAAAGCGGCACTTGCTCTGGGCCACTCTGTTATGCTAGTGTAAAGCCTAGGGTAAAAATTCGAACGCATTTGATGAACCTCAGTACATTGAGAAATTGAAAATGTGATTCCTTTTGTCCTGTTGAACTGAGTCCGTTCAAAGGTCGTATGGTTGCTCTGTGAGCACATCTGCCCATCGCGATGAGGCCGGACCTTGGCGTGGTTCTTTGGTTTGTGTACCTCAGTGATCCACTGAGCTATACTGGGTGGTGCATTTTTGCAACTTCAGAGCCACTCATACCAGAATTGTCAATGTTTAGAGGCCAGACAAACTCAGCCCCCTGGTCCTCCAGGTTGAGGGTTGGAACGAGGATGGCTCCTTCTTTCTTAAAACGGACTCCTTGTAGCCCAACGCCAAACCAACTGCCTTGCGGTAAGGTTTTTGAACCAAAGGCTTTGGTTGAGAACCCTAATCGTTCTCCTGTCTAGGCCTGGGCAACCTGACAGTATCCTGCCTACGCAATACTATGGACCTTTCGTCAAACAAACTTCCGATGCTCTGGCTACCGCAGAGGATAATCAACGATGCCATACCTGCTGCACCTAGCAGGGTGATTAGAGGTTTGGATACTACTGCTCAAGCCCTCTAATCTTCTTATTCTTCTCTTACGCTTTTGTCTCTTATGGTCCAGTTCCGACTTCACTTTTATCCCCCTAGTTTTCAACCCTCCGTTTTTTGGCTCTCCACCACCATGCTTTGATAGGCGTTTATCTTTTAGTTGCAACACATCAAACGCGAAGCGTCACTCCTTCCCTGTCGACAAGCCCATGTCCAACCAAGTGGTCAAGCCAAGTTCACCGGCTTCTATTTGGAGCCCTCCATCCTCCTTCAGACTGGCATGCTTCAATGTACGCATACAACTACAGATCGGTCAACAGGCAGCACTTGCCCGAACTTTAGTGACCTACTCGATCGATATCTGCTACTTATCAGAGACCCGCCTGCAAGACTCGAGCTCTGTGCTCACTCTGTGATCCCCTTCAAGTGACACAAGCAATATTTTCTCATTGCGCCTATCCTGTGACGATTCAGGTTCGAGCACCGGCCAAGCCGGTGTCGATATTGCCCTGAGTCCCCGCGCTGAAGCTGCTCTGGTTGAATGGATCCCAGTCAGTAGCCGGTGGTGTGCGGTCCGATGGGCTGGCTCGTTCAAAACTTCGAAGTCGCGCGGGACTACTAGGTGTCTATTCATCATCGCTGCCTACGCGCCCACAAACTCTAGGGATGATTCGGTAAAGAACGACTTCTACCGCCAACTTACCGAGCCCTTTCGCCACAGAAGAAGCACGGACACTGTTGTGTTGGCGGGGGATCTGAACGCACAAGTTGGAAAGTTGTCCACTGATGAAATGCATCTGGGCGGTCAGCACGGTGTAGGCTCCCATAATGATAACGGTGAACGGTTACTTCATTTGTGTAAAGATGCCCGCTTATTTCTTACGAGTGCTAACCCGACACAGCACCCGCCGGAGGGTGACTTGGCGCCCACCAGCCTTGGACGCAAATCGATCACACTGCAATCAGTTACCGCTGGAGAGACTACATCCAGAACTGTCTCTCGATTTGAGCACATACGTGGACACCGACCATGCACTTGTATGTGCTGACATGCGGATGCGTTTTGGCGGACGCCCACGACGACACTGTGAGCGCATTGACACCAGCCAATTGGCGAAGGCAGCTGTTCTGAATGCTTATCAAACTACCCTGACAAGCGAGTTGAGTAAACGCTCACTGGAGACAATTGAACGTCACTGGTCACACGTTCACCAGACCTTACTAGCAGCAGGAAAATCCTCATGTGGTGAGTCTAATCGACAACATGGACATTGAGTCTCTTCGCAGCCTCTGAAACTTATCGATGCTCGCCGGCATATCCCGGCTGGAAGCAACACAATGAAACTTGCAAAGAGCTGCGGGCAAAACTCCATGCTAGCCTGAAGAGAGACCGCGAATTCTGGTGGCCTCATCGTGCATCAGTGATGGAAATGGCCGCTGCCTATGGTAACCATCGTAAGTTATTCCGTCTGATACGGGAAACGGGCAGCAGGAGACCTGGTGTTAGTGAAACTATACGTGACGAGTGTGGACAACCTATCCACAATTTGTAAAAACGTCTGGAGCGTTGGGCTGAGCACTCTCAAAGCAATTTAATCAACCGGAATCATTCAATTCCTCACCGGCCAGTGATCGCCCTGCACCGTGGGCTGTCCCTTTGGATCCGCCCTCTCGCTCAGAACTCGAACGTGAGATCGGACTGTTGAACTTAAAAAAAGCCACGGGACCAGGTGATCTTTTACCAGCCCTCTTCAAATTCGATGGACCCGCTCTTGTGGATAATTTACAAGAGTTACTGGGGAAACTGTGGGAGCAGGAAACCGTCCCAATCAACTGCAGCCACTCCGTTATTGTTCTGATCTACAAAGTAGGCTTGCGCTCGGAATGCAGCAACCATAGTGGAATCAGTCTGATCCCCATCGCCTCCTAATTACTTGCCTCTGTAGTCCTTCACAGACTCACCGGCGCTCGTGAAAGCCAGATTCGTGAGGATCAAGCCTGGTGGCTGTATCGACCACATCTTCACTTTGCGTCCGTTGTTGGAGCACCGTCACACAAATTGGCAGCCCACCATACTCGTGTTCCTCGAGATCAAAGGTGCCGTCGATTTCGTTGATCGATGTGCTCTTTGGGACTGTCTACTCAGGAAAGGTATGCACGAGAAACACGTAAATATCACCCGCTCATTATACGCGCGTAGCTCAGGCAGAGTGAGGGATTAAGGCAAGCTGTCGTCACACTTCAATATCTCCAGCGGCTCGGCCACGTCTTGCGCATACCAGCTCATCGACTCCCGCGACGTGCGTTATTTTGTCAACGGGGGTGTGGATGGAAGAATAAGAGGAGTAGACAAGCGACGACTTGGTCAAGAAGAATGAAGGCCCTCATTTCGGAGCTGGCATCGGTTGAAACTGCACGGCTCCCTGGTTGGGGTCCAAAAGACGATGAACGCGTTTGGCTAGATACACTTGCTGACATGGCTGAGAGCCAACCTCAGTGGTGTTCCTGCCGTGAGTTTCTTTGTCCCTCCCTATCCCTTCTAGCCTCTCCCTCCAACCGTCATCACATTTCGTAGCATAATATAATTTTACATCAAAATTTTCTTGTTGCCTAGTAGCCGGCTGCTAGCTTTCCGGAAGGATGCCCATCCGTTGCTGGTAGCTCAGCTGGCATTCAACTGTTGTATTTAGTTTCTTTTTTCTTTACTATTGCGCCACAGTAGCTGAGGTGTTTTCACACCTCTAGCTAACGTGTATAATGATGATGATGATGATGATGAGCGCATCTGCGCATACAAATTTATTAACACGCTTGATTAAACAAATCGTCCGGCTTTTTCCATGGATCCGCTCGGATAACACGATTATTATGAGGTAAAAAAAACTTTATTCACTTTGGTTACAACGATGCGTTTAAGTCATGCAATCCTAATTAGTCAGTCCTACGTTGTACACTTCCCGTTCTAGCCGTTGAGCATAGGTGTGGCGAAGAGCACGCGGTACAGAGTAACCCGAAGATCGCTGAGTAAAGCTTAATGGCTCAGGTGCGGCCTGGGTCAAAATTTATGCGATTTTACCATAGGTTGCAGTAAAACTGAACACCAGCAGTACCACGGTAGCTTGTTCGTCCGCCTAACGCAAGTCAATCTGTAACAGCACTGTGCAACTCCGTAGTGATTTAAGGTGTAACTAAATAAATGGATAAATTTCCCGCTAGGCGGGAGGCGTCTTCTTTTGTGGAACGACTACGTGTACAGCAGATTTCATCAGTATTTCATTTATTAACTTGCATTAAATATGGAGCACTGAATACTGGGTAATGTATTACGAGAGCAAGCAGAAATTTAAAGATGTGCAACCATCGTAAATTAATCAAAAACGTTAAAAAAGAGGTATCTGCCACCCGTGGTAATCTACTCGTTCTTCGGGTTCTTATGTAGCAGTTGTAAATGTCTGACTTACGTCTTTGAGCCCAGTGAAACTGCAACATTTCATCGCCAGTGTGCAGTGGTTCTCTGAATCGATTGGTAGTAGAATGTTAATCCAACAAAAATTTGAACTGCTGCACTGATTTGGCGTCTACGACTTGTTCTGGCAGATTGTTCCAAACATTTACCACTCTCTATTCGAAGCACAGGGTGTGGGGCATTCGGTTTATATCCGGCACCACAAGCTAGTACCTGTGTCCCCGTGTACTGCATGGCGCTCGTAAGTAAAGCAGACGCCTCAACATTAGGAAGTCCTCGAGATGTAATGTGAGATAAGTCATGATTGGGTCGACTCGCACCCAACTATCGGACAAGGTGTGGAGTCCTGCTTTCTCGTACCGGTCTTCTTGCAGTAATCCTCGTAAACCTGGAATGAGCCTGGTGGCGACATGTTCGATCTTCTGTGCCTTGCATCAGGTGAGTGGACAGCAGGCGGGTGAGCCGCACTTCAGTATTGGTCTTGTGATGGAAGAGCAGAGGAGAGTGGTAACCTCTTCAGACCAAGTACAGAATCTGTTCTTGTTGTCCACTGACTTCAAATTGGCACAAGAGTGCAACTAGGTCCTTTACGTAAGGAGTGGAATGTAGCGGTTGTCCGTCAACGGTGTAAGTTCGGCCGATATCACCATTCTGCAAACTCATGAATACCGTCTTGCTTGGGTTGACTGGGAGGCGG